TAGTATTGACTGTTTTTCGACCGTCTTGCACCATGTCAGCTTATACGAATTCTGGCCACTCGACAGCTCGCGCGCGTGTTGCTTCGTTTACACTCATGCGCGTGTATGTGTGTGTGTGTGTTTGTACCTTCGAGTGGCGGTCAGCGGAGCATCCTTGTTTGTGCAACTTGGTGTCGTGTGCGATTTGACGATGTCAAGTCGCGTTGTAACGGACATCGAATCGTTCACATTTGTGTGAGTATGTGATCATTTGTGTGTGTATACATGCATTTGCAATGTGTGTTTGTGTTTGTGCGTGTAGTGACTAAACATGCCAGCAAATAACATCTCACGTGTGTATAAAAGTGTGCCGCCACCGACTCCGAGTTATACATTTAGAACTTGTTCTAAAAATTTGCCTCGGCTGGCTCTCGGCGATGTTCGTTGCTCTCCGTTACTTACACATTCTGTGCCATGCATTGGACTTCCAAAGCAAGTCGATTGGTTACGAGTGTCCTTGTGCCCAAGTCTATTCAGCGAAAGTGGACAGCTGGATCAGCAAAAGATATTTTGCTGCCACGACAAAACCTTTTGCTGTCCCAGCAAAATCATATAGCTGCCGCGACAAAAATTTTTTGCTCCAACAGCAAAATAATTTTGCCGTGGCAGCAAAATATCTTTTGCTGATCCAGCTAGTCACTTTCGCTGGATTTGGGTATAAAATTTTTTTCAGTGTGGTTCGTTACTTTCTCACTTACAGTGCTACGAAGTCCTGAAAAAAGCGATCACTCGCCTGAAGGGCAGAGTTCAGCCCAACGGCAAGCCTTACACGCCCGTACACACGTACGTGCTCAATCCAAAATCCATCACGATGGGCCAGCTCTACGGCGAATACGACCTCGGCACTCACGAGTGGACGGATGGCATACTCTCGACTCTGATCAGAGACGGCAGTGCCGCTACGGACGACGACAAACGATGGTACGTCTTCGACGGGCCGGTCGACGCGGTTTGGATAGAAAACATGAACACCGTCCTGGATGACAACAAGAAGCTTTGCCTGACCTCGGGCGAGATAATGCGACTGTCGCCCTGCCAGACGATGATGTTCGAGGTCGAGGATCTGAGGGTTGCGTCGCCGGCTACGGTTTCGAGGTAAGATATATGCTTATCGCATATACTATAATCGACGGGAGCAAAATTATGCAAAGCCTCTCTCGAGGCAAAAAGTTTTTCGCGATACTCTTTATTTTTTTCTTTCCCGATGATGTTATACATATAGAGCCTGCCCGCTTCCTTTCAATCGCGATGTTTTATTAACGCGCGTTGGTAGTGCGGCCGGACAAACTTTCCTCGAAGATAATGAAGAGTACTTTTTTTTTGTTTTGTTTTCTCCCGCCTCTGTGCTTACAAAAAGTTCACGAACTGCATCATTGGGTTTGTTGGTATATATTTATCACAGCTCTCGGCTAATCAAAATTTTATGGAAATATCGCTAATGTGTTTCGTCAGTTTATTCATTTGAAAGGCGGGAGATTACGCGAAGGCGCAGGCGTTATGATGATTATTTCTCTAGTCTATTTACCAGAATTACCATTCAACAAACTTTTTCACGCGGGTAATCAACATTTTTTTTTCTTTTTTTTGGACACAAATAAGCCGATTAGGCGAATATTCGAATTTTTTGAACGAAAAATTGAAGGGTGCCAAAATATGTACATCTTTGGCCGGGCTTAATATAATATATAATATTTTTGCCCGCGAGAAAATAACAAATCCCTTTTCTTCTTTGTTTAACAAACACAGATGCGGTATGGTTTACATGGAACCACAGGGCCTGGGCATCGATCCGTTTATCGACTGTTGGATTAAACAATTGCCCGGGGCAAGTTTCTACGAATGAAAAAACTTCTTCTCTCCTATATTACTCCAACTTGTGTACCAAGTCACCTTCGAATATAGATGTCTTGCATTTTTTAACTCATTTACTTTTTTTCCGTCATTTTTAGTATTTAAACGAGGAGCATCGCCAAGAGCTGTCGGACTTGACTTACTTCTTCGTTATACCGGGGCTGCAGTTCTTACGCGCCAATCTCAAGGAGTTGGTAACGAGCATCGATTCGGGATTAGTGATCGCCTACTCGAACGTAATGAATTATTTGATCGGCACCATTAAGTATCAAGAGGAAATGATTTTTCCAGGTTATTTTCTCTCTCTCTCTCTCTCTCTCTCTGGAAACTTCACGCAGGAAAAAAAAACTTATTCAATGATTCATCTTTCTGTCTATCCGCATTAGCTTATCTGTTTGAGCCCTGGTCAGCGTTCGCCCTCACGTGGAGCATCGGGGCTACTTGCGATGCGGAAGGTCGCTACTTATTCAGCGAGTGGCTGCGGCATAAACAAGAGGCCGGCGAGCATCGGCTTCTCTTTCCCCCGGAGGGCTTGGTTTACGATTATCGGTATGTATATCCAAGGGATCGACGCGTTATTCCACCCGTCAACGAGACAGAATAGACAATTTTTCTTCATTTTTCTGTTTTTTTTTCAGACTTCAGTACGAGAAGAGTTTGGACATGGATAATCCGAACAGCGAGAGAGATCTCATGAAGTGGGTGAAATGGCACGACGACTTGCCGTCCATTACGATAAGACCGGATCAACAATTTTCAGGTACGTATACGTACTGTAGTACTCAAAACTCGATTCGCGAGCGCCAGCACACCCACCCCCGTCCGAAGGGCTTCGTCAACTCGACAGCAAGAGACTACTCGAATTTTCTCCTCATCTTTATCCTCCTCCTGCATTGTGTAGACATCGAGATTCCCACGGTCGATATGGCACGTAGCACGGCGCTGATACATTATCTGCTGACGACCGAGTGCAACATTCTGTGCGTCGGGCCGTCGGGCAGCGGCAAAACGCTGACCGTGGCCGCCAAGCTGTCGCGCGAGATGCCCAGCAAGTACATCTGCGAGTTCATCATATTCTCGGCGAGGACGTCGGCCAATCAGACTCAGGTCCGTATATATATATTACCAAACATCATAAATAAAATAGAGCAGTCCATTTATAAATATTAAGTACCGCATTCGTCTTATCGGTTTTTATTTTATTGCGTTCGTAATTCTGTTTCTTCCTCGACTCGCACGCAGGATCTGATCGACAGCAAATTAGATAAGCGTCGCAGGGGAGTGTATGGGCCGCCGCTCACCAAGAAACAGATATTTTTCATCGACGACCTGAACATGCCGGCACTGGAGACTTACGGCGCCCAGCCGCCCATCGAGCTGTTGCGTCAGTACATGGATTTCAAGGGTATATATCTGCCTGTACAGGCGAGCGAAAGGTCGCCGACAAACGTCAAAATACGAGATGAACCGATAACGGAGAGCTAAGTTGTTAAACAACATGATTCCTAATGTATTTTTGGTCGCTGCATCCGAATATGACACTTATTTTTCCCTTAAATGACAGCTCAATTTTCATGAAAAATGCGTAAAAAAATTTTTTTAATTTTTTCATATTCAACTCGCTCTATCTTGTAGAGTATTGGATATTTTTCGATGAAATTTTAACCGTACATTCTTGAGATCCTTTGAAAGAAAAACAAGCTATCATACAAGTGAAAAATTTGAGCCAGAGATATGAATTTTTAAACTTTTATTGTCCGATATAGCGAAGGGACAACTACGAACTGAAATGTTGTGTGACGAAAGTTCGAAGTTGGATTTTTAAACGTGATAACATTAAAATATAAGGCTGAAAGAAGTTTTTGGTAAAATTTTAGCCAGAAATATCAATTAGGAAAAAAATGGCAAGAGTTTTAAGATTGCGTACCGACCGACCGTGTTGCGTCTCGGCAGCGCAGCAGCCGCTGCGTCAGCATGCCATGCGTAGCTTGTTTTCTTTCAAAGGATCTTAAGAATATACGATTAAAATTTCATCGAAATATATTAAACATTCGCGCAAGATACAGCGAGTTGAATATGAAAAAATTGAAAAAATTTTTTTACGCATTTTTCATGAAAATTGCGTTTTTCTCAATGATGCTGTCATTTTAGGGAAAAATAAATGTCATTTTGTTTAACAACTAAGCTCTCCGTGTTCGGTCAACCTTACCTTTTTGGCAACCTCCCCCCCTCGCCTAATACTCGAAGTGAATATCGACATAAGAGCCACTCGTGAAAAATTTCATTTCTAATTCATAACTCCCGGATTTTCTCTTTTCGCGAATGTACGTATGTGTATTTATAGGCTGGTACGACAGGAAGGAGATCGGCGACTTCCGGCACATCGAGGACGTTAACGTAATAAGTGCCATGGCACCGCCCGGAGGCGGTCGCAACCCCGTCACGGCTCGTCTTCTCAGGCACTTCCATTTCATTGCCTTCCCGGACATGGACGAGAGCGCAAAGGTGAATCATATAATATCACGGGTGAATACCGTCGCGAAGTACGGAAAATAGGGTTAAAGCCACGTTCATTCATTCACTCGACGCCCTCGGGGCAATTTTTACATTTTTTCGATTATTATAAATCGACGCAACGATGCAACGAGATGTGGGTTGAAAAACTGCAGATGGGAAAATTTTTTTTTCTCTCTTATTGAACTTTCCTGGGGAAAATATCTCCCTCTACGAGAAAACAAAACACACGATGATCAAGGTCGAAGGACGGAACAGCAGTAGCAGGCATATAATAATAATTGGCATATGTATGCACATACACGCGTTGGACGTTCGCGGCGTTAATTGGCATTCGGGTATTCTTCCACGTGTTTCGCTGTCGCATTGCTCGGGCGAGTTTTTTTCAACGCCACACCTCGAAACTCGGGGAAACGACATAATTGCAATTCACACACCGGAAAAATATCGAGTCGCGCAGAAATGATCGATGCTCGCGAGCGTGTGTGCTTGCCACCTACCACCCGCTATGGGTTTAAGCGGTCTCGGAGCAGCAGAGGTAATTTCCTCATCCTTTTTTTTTCTTTCTCTCTCCGCACCGAGTTAAGTACCTCCCAGAGCGCGCGCGGAAACATAACGAATGTATACCCGTAACTATTTTATTGACATTGAGGGCAGCTTGAGCCGAAGGAAAGTTTTTGCAAGTCTCTCGCTCGCGTATTGTTTCAGTCTTAAGTTCGCTCTGTAATTTTTCTGCAGCGCGGAATTTTCGGCACGATCCTGACTTCTTGGCTGTCGAGGACAGCATTCCAGGACGTGTTCCTGGAGCCCTTACTAAGCGGATCGCTACGCGTGTTCGCGATAGTTAGCAGCGAATTTCTCCCTACGCCGAGCAAATCGCACTACAGCTTCAACGTGCGAGACTTCGGCAAAGTTTTCCAGGGCATACTCATGGCCGATCCGGCGCACATCAAGGTTCGATATACAATGTTCTCGGATATTAAGTCAGCTTATACGACAGGCTAATGTTTCGATACTCATTTATCCGATCGTTTTCGTTTCAAGCAAGTGGACGATCTGATGCAGCTCTGGTATCACGAGAGCTTTCGGGTCTACAGCGATCGCCTGACCAACGACGCCGACAGGCAGAGATTCCAGAATATACTGCTGCAGACGCTGGTCGAGGAATTTCATTACGACGCGAATCGCGCGAGGCGCGAGGGCGTCCTGTACTACGGCGACTTTTGTAATCCGGAGGGTCGCTACGAGCGGGTGCGCGACGCGAAAAAGGTAAGCCGCTTGCCACCCCGCGCGTAAATCCATTCTCTCTCTCTTTCTTTCTTTCTCATCCTTCGTTTTTCGCTTACTCGCTGGCGGCTGTCTGTATCGACTTGTAAATTCACGGCTGTAGATGGAAAGAGTCCTCATGGAAATGTTGGAGAATTACAATAGCCAGACGACGGTGCCGATGAATCTGGTATTATTCCAAGACGCCATGAATCACGTGTGCCGAATAACCCGCGTGCTGCGACAATCGCCGGGCAATGCCCTCCTTCTCGGCATGGGTGGCTCGGGTAACTTTGTGTTTTCCACATTTTTATGTATCATTTGCTTGTATTTTTTCACTGTGCGCTGAAAGCTGAGTACGTACATGGGAAAATTCACTGAATTTCATTCTATAAAAATACCATCGTATACAACTTTAATCATTATGCAAGCACACTGATGAATAAAATGTCAATGGATTTTCTGACAAAGTGCCAATATTTCTGGAAAAGGTCGATTTGTGCAAAACTGTGTTTTTAAATATTTAGATATTTTTTATTGCATTTTAAATTTTATTTTCAATCTGTTAATAACTTTGACAGTGCGCGCTAGTAGAGATAATATTTACGTACAAGAGCAAAAGATGGAGGATAAAACAGTGTCCATCAATCCGGATTTTCAGCTTTAAAATTCAATATCCCCCAATAGCCTTATCAAGAAACTTTTTCCCTTTAGTGTACTTGTGTAATCCTAAAAGTTATTTATAAAATCAATATTGAGATTTTTGTTGAATAAATATTACCAAATCATCGGATTTACCCATGTGCTTTTATTTTTTTCTGGCTTTCCCTAGTCGTCGTCGATCTGGGTAATTTACGATCTCTCTATATATGTACTTTCTTCTCTTACCCTACCTTTTAGGCCGACAGAGCTTGACCAAGCTATCTACTCACATCGCCGAGTACATCTGCTTCCAAATTGAATTGAGCAAGACTTACGGGGTGCGCGACTGGCGAGACGACGTCAAGGATATCCTCTTGAAGACGGGCTTGAAGCCCGGCACGCAGTCCGTCTTTCTGTTCTCCGATACCCAAGTTGGTAAAACAATTACCAGTCGTTCGTTATTATAGTTTTAAAAAAGATGGATGCGGAATAAAAAAAAAGCTTAAGCGAGGGATAATACGGATTGGCTCGTGTATAGATAAAGAGCGACGTGTTCCTCGAGGACATCAACAACATACTCAACAGCGGCGACGTGCCCAACATCTATCAGCCCGACGAGCTCGACAAGATCTTCCAGGCGATGCGCGCCCGGGTGCAGGAGTCCGGCCTCCAGATCAATCGCAGCAATCTGCTCTCGGCCTTTCGCAAAGTCGTGAAGAACAATCTGCACGTCGTGCTCACGATGACGTAACGAGAAGCAACTAATATAGAACTAGCTCCTCTCTCCTTTTTCATTTACTCGTTTATTGGGTTAACGTTATACCGGGTGCTTTTTTTTTGCAGACCCATCGGTGAGCTTTTCCGGGCACGCATCAGGCAGTTCCCGGCGCTGATCAATCTCTGCACGATCGACTGGTTCGATCCGTGGCCCGACAGCGCGCTCCAAGTTAATAAACTCTCCTTGCTCATACCAATTAGCTTTCTTTTAATAACCACAACGAGCGAAATTAAATAAAAAAACAAAAACGTGCCCTCGCGAGAAAAAATAACAATGTTTCTCTCTCCCTTCATTATAGAACGTGGCGATGCACTTCCTGCAGAACGTAAAGGACGAGGCGTTCACGGACAGCGTCATGAAGTCCATCGTGAAAACCTGCCAGTTCATGCACTCGAGCGTCATCAAAGCCAGCTCGGATTTTCTACAAGTACAGTAGTAGAGCGAACGAGGATTAGTTTTCATTTTTTCTCTCGTTGTTATTTTCTCTTTTTCTTCTAACCCTCGCTACTCCGATGATTGTTCTCGTATCCTCTTTCGTTACTTATGGGTATCTTTTTCGCGAAGGAACACAGTCGTCACAATTACGTAACGCCCACGTCTTATCTGGAGCTGATCTCCAGTTACGGTCACTTGCTGGCTAAAAAGAGAAACGAGCTGAATCTCGGGATATCAAGATTGTCGACGGGTAAGAGCTTTTCTCCGATAATTTCACGTGGGGGGACCTTCGAAATACTATAATTACACGTACTCGCGTGTTGTATACGCGTGTACGCAGGCTTGGAACGTTTGGCCGAGACGGAAATCGAGGTCAAAGATATGCAGGTGCTTTTGGAAAAAATGAAGCCCGAGCTGGAGGAGGCCGCGATCGAGACCCAGGCCATGATCGTGCAAATACAAAAAGATACCGTGAGTAACGTGTCGTGTGTTTGACGAGATTAAACACCGAGCTTAATCAAGTCGATGCATCGTTCGTATATAAATCGAGAATCAATCGAAGAATACAGCTAATTATTCATCGCGCAATGTTTGATCACATACACACACAGGCCGTGGCTGAGATCGCGCGCCAAGAGGCTGCAGCCCAGGAGGAGGAGGCCAGCAAATTAAAAATGGAAAATCAAGCCATACGCGACGAAGCCGAATACGATCTCAGTAAAATATCCCTCTTTTTATTGGTTTCTCTTTTTTTTTTCCTTTTTTTTGTGTGTTTGTGCACGCGAGAATGCGCAAGCGAGAGCTAATATTAACTTTTGATGTAATTTTTCCCACTCACCTACACACAAACACACATACACACACACATAGGTAAAGCTCGACCGATGCTGCAGGCTGCGGAAGAGAGCCTGAAAGCATTGAATAAAGCCGACATAACCGAGGTGAAAGCCATGAAAAGGCCACCGGTGGGAGTCGTGCTCGTTATCGAGGCGATTTGCATTGTGAAGAAAGTAAAACCTTTGAAGGTAAGCGAGCAGAGGCGGATGTATGCGCCAGAGGGTGTAGTATGCGTACGCCCGTCGTTTCTGCGTGCATTGTAAATGCAGAGAAACGACGTATAAATCTCATGCGTCGTTCCTCGTTCAGTACAGGAGGAAAGAAAAACTACGCGGCTCATTTGTGCTACTACTCACATATATTTATTTGACAGACAGACAGAGAGAGAGAAAGACGGTAAAATTGCAACGAAATACGTCAGACGTAATAAAGTTTTCTCCTTTTTTTGTCATGTCAACGGTCTGACTGAACTCTGACTTACTCCACTGCTGGAGTTTGTACGCAGGAGGCACAAAAAGTCTCTACCCTCGCAAGTATTTTTTTAACGCTGTGTGGGTGAGGTTTCTTAACCTTAAAGCGTTAGAAAACCTTAGTTTCTCGCAAGCAGGGTTAAAAAATATCGTTTTTGTGCTACCCCAACCTAAAGTAACATTTTACTCCCGCTGCGCAAAACCAAAATGTTACTTTAGGCTGGGGGACTCACAAAAAATGGTATTTGCACGAAGCAAAAATGAAAGTCTCAGAGCACGTGATTATCAACCTCGGCTTCGTTTCGGATGATGAATTACACGTGCTCTGAGGCTTTCCAGTTGTTTGCTCCCTAGGCACGTAATATACAATTGCAACAAGTCTTTGTACCCTCTCTACACTCGGGTGAAAACAACTCCTGGATGAATCAGCTGTGCTTCGGGCACTTGTTACGAAATATACTATTCTTTTTTGTTTTGCGCTGGCTTTACTGCTGCTTTGCTCAGAGTGAGGAGGTTTTTTTTGCTTTTTTTTTTAACGAGCTCGTTTTAGTTAAGGGTATTTAGAAGCGAAAGGTAAAAGAGATCGATAATTAAGGGTATTTGTATTATTGATACGTAACGTTCTTTATTTACGGTTATTATACAATTCATTGGCATATAACAGAAAAAAATAGGATTTTTTTATTCATTTTGAATTTTCCTTCTTTGTGCACACCTAAAACGAGAATTGCTGAAAAATTAATTTTTTTGTAAAAATCAAAGTAGAAGGATCCTCATCCACGAATTTAATATTCGCCGACTTATGAATAAATAAATCCTTGCTTCGCATTCGCAGTAGCAAAAATTTTCGTAATCGCAACTGTTTGTTGTCGAGAGTCGCGAATAAAACGATCTCGCATTACAGAATATATTTTGTGTAAATATTCGTAAATAGAACTGACGAATATTGAAGTAAATGTGTGTCTATGTTCTCGTCCAATGAAATGTACATATTTTTATTTACGTATATTATTCACACGAGCAACGAGTAAATGTACTTCAAAGTTTATAGTACTAAAATTTTGAAAAAAAATAAAACTACTATAGTAATTTTAAAGTAAATATTTTTATATAAGTGTTCAAAAAGAAGCTTAAAATCGGAAAAATATTTACTCAATTTAGTAGAAAATACTTTTCTTCACCTTTGATTCAAACGCAATTTCAAAAAAGTGCGATGAAGGGTGGCGAGCCGAGTCCTTTTCAAACATTACATACGTATTATTCTCTTCAATTTTCCATTTTCCTTTGAGCTCGTAATTATTGTAAAACAATGTAGATTATTTTCAAACATTACATACTTATTATTCTCTTCAATTTTCCATTTTCCTTTGAGCTCGTAATTATTGTAAAACAATGTAGATTGTTTTACGCTTTTGTGTGTTTGCCTTTAATCAACCGTGAAAAAACCACCGTTGCCACGCGCGTGGAGGCTTTTCAACGCAAATTTTATCTTTCATCTTTTTAATTAGGTTGCTGGGGAGCGTCCCGGTGAGAAGCTCAACGATTACTGGACACCGGGTAGCGCTCTGCTCTCCGACGCCGGTCACTTTCTCTCCTCGCTGGAGAATTACAACAAAGAGGACCTGAACGAGGACATGATCAAGAGTCTGAAGGGCTACATCGAGAATCCGGACTTTCAGCCGGCCAAGGTCGCCACGGTGTCCAAAGCCTGTCACTCGCTGTGCTTGTGGGTGCACGCCATGTACAATTATTACTTCGTGAACGAGCGCGTGAAGCCGAAGATGCAGGCGCTGAGAGAGGCCGAGGAGGGCTTGAGACAGACCGAGCTCACTCTGGCGGCGGCGGTGGACAAGTTGCGCCAGGTCGAGGCCGGGGTGGAGCTGCTGCAGGCCAAGTTCAGGCGCGGCGAGGCCAAGCAGGCCGAGCTCGAGCGACAGAAGCAGCTCTGCGAGGATCGCATGTCCCGCGCCGTACGACTCATCGGGGGCCTGGCCGAGGAGAAGGTGCGCTGGGCCGAGACGGTGGCCCTGATTCGACACGATCTCAAAAATATCATCGGCGACATTCTCCTGTCCGCCGGTGCCATAGCCTACCTCACGCCCTTCATGGACACCTATCGCAAACGCCTGCTCACCTCGTGGTATCGCACCCTGGGCAAGAACGTGCCGCACACCCCGGGCTGCTCGCCCGTCTCCGTCCTCGGCGACCCCGTGGAGATACGTCGCTGGCAGATCGAGGGTCTGCCCCGCGACTCCCTCAGCGTCGAGAACGCCGTGCTCGTTACCAATTCGAAGCGATGGCCGCTGTTCATCGATCCCCAGGGACAGGCCAATCACTGGATACGCAATTCGGGCAAACAGGGCGGACTGTCGATAGTGCGCATGAACGACAAGGACCTGCTGAGGGTGATCGAGAGCTGCATACGATTCGGCCGCACCTGCCTCATCGAGAACGTGGGCCTGGAGTTCGAGGCGTCGTTGGACACGGTCCTCATGCGGACGCTGTTCCGCCAAGCCGGTGTGCTCAGTCTCAAGATCGGCGATAACATAGTACCCTACAGCCCGGACTTTCGACTGTTTCTCACGACCAAGCTGCCGAATCCTCACTATCCACCCGAGATCGCGGTCAAGGTGCTGCTGGTTAATTTCACCCTGACGGCTAGTGGCTTGGCCGATCAGATGCTGTCCCTCGTGGTCATGCAAGAGTGTCCGGACTTGGAAGAGACTCGCAGCGCTTTGATCGTTTCCAGCGCCGACATGAAGCGAGAATTGAGGGATATCGAGGACAGGATATTGCAACGACTCTCGTCGTCGGAGGGCTCCGCCGTGGACGACGTCGATCTCATATTAACCCTCGAGGCGTCGAAAGTCAAAAGCGAAGAAATCAAGGTACTCGCAATATCCTTCTTACGAGCGAGGACGAATAAATAAAAATATCTTTTTTTCAATCGTGTAACATGCGCGCGATTGTAGATAAAAGTGAAATCGGCGGAAGTGACCCAAGTGGAGATCGAGGCCGCGCGATCGCTCTACATACCGATCGCCGAGCGGGCGCAAATTCTGTTCTTCTGCCTGCTGGATTTGCAGCTGGTTGACACCATGTATCAGTACTCGCTTCAGTGGTTCATACAGATTTTCATCAATGCCATGAGAACCTCGCCGAAGAACGGTACAGGATAAGCGAATGGAGAATAAAAAAAGATCATACGTTTTTTATTCCGCAGTGAAAATGAATTGTTACTGTCCTTTTTCTTTCTTTTTTCGTTGTACATAGAGAACGTTGAAATACGAGTGTCGAGCATCAATGAGAATCTCACGTTCTCCCTGTTCACCAACGTCTGCCGCAGCCTGTTCGAGAAGCACAAGCTGCACTTCGCCTTTCTCCTCTGCGTGCGCATCCGCATGAAAGACAATCTCATCGATCCGGACGAATGGAGATTTCTACTGTCCGGATCCACTCCCCTGAAGGTATAATAATAATAATGTGCAAACGAAATGAAAAGTTGCACGGAACAATGCCGCGGGCGAGAGCGAGCCAGGAGAGAAAATTAATAGAAATTTTATAATTCGTTTTTTCCCCGCGCGCGCGCGAGTAGGAAGAGCAGAATCCCGCGCCCCAGTGGCTGACTCAGCGCAGCTGGTCGGAAATACAATCCCTCGAAGCTCTGCCGAAATTTCGCGGCTTCGCGGCCTCCTTCAAAAGTCTTCTGGCGAAATTTAAGATCATTTTCGACTCGCAGCAGCCCGAGGCGTAAGTGGAGACTTTCATCATTAGAGAAGAGAAGAAGACGAGAAGCTTTTACGTTCTTCTCCGCTTATCGCTTTACCGACGCGAACACTGCCGCTTTTCTCTCGCAGCGAAAAGTTGCCCGACAAATGGGATCAAAAGCTCGACGACTTTCAAAAGATGCTGGTGCTGAAGTGCCTGCGCCCGGACAAGGTAACCATCTCCATGCAGCACTACATCATCGCGCATCTGGGCGGTCGCTTCGTCGATCTGCAGTCGTCGGGCCTCGAGGCCATCTACAAGGAGTCCTCGCCGACGACCCCGCTGATCTTCGTGCTGTCCAGCGGCACCGATCCCGCGGCGGAGCTGGCCAAGTTCGCCGACAAGCTGAAAATGTCGCGCAAGCTGTACTCGATGTCACTGGGTCAGGGCCAAGGGCCGCGCGCCGAGCTCATGCTCAAACAATCGATCGAAGTCGGTAATTGGCTCTTCTTTCAGGTAAATTCTCGCGCGCTCCTGCGCACCAGCTGTCTCATTTTACTATTAACAATTTAAACGGTACATTTTAATTATCTCAAATGACTCGATGCGACGCGTTGATTAACTGCGTAGAATTGCCATCTGGCGCCGAGTTGGCTGCCGCGACTCGAGCTGCTCGTCGAAAATCTGCCCGACTCGACTCATCGAGATTTCCGCCTCTGGCTCACGTCGATGCCCTCGGCCGCCTTCCCCGTCAGCATACTGCAGAACGGCAGCAAGATGACGATCGAGCCGCCTCGCGGCGTCAAGGCCAACGTCATGCGCGCCTACACGAGCCGCGTCGTCGAGTTCCAGGAGTTCCTCGAGTCGGAGAGCGCTAAGGTCGACGCGTTCAAGTGTCTCGCCTTCTCGCTCTGCCTGTTTCACGCGATCCTCCTCGAGCGACGCAAATTCGGCCCGCTGGGCTTCAACATTCCGTACGAGTTCACCGACGGCGACTTCACCATATGCCTGTCGCAGCTGCACATGTTTCTGCTGGAGTACGCCAGGACGCCCTACGAGGTCTTGATCTACACGGCCGGCCACATAAATTACGGGGGCCGGATAACGGACGACTGGGACAGGCGCTGCGTGCTGACGCTGCTGCACAACTTTTACAACGAGTCGGTGCTCGAGACGGGCCACTGCTTCGACCCGAACGAGCTTTACGTTCAAGTACGCATCGATCGATATATAATAAATAAAAATTGCTCGCCAAGTTTTTTTTTTTTTTATCTCGTGTAAATTATGATGTGTTTGTAGCCTCCCCCGGAAAGCACGACTTTCCTCGACTACGTGAATCTGATCAAAGGTTTCCCGATCAACGACGTGCCGGGCCTGTTCGGGCTGCACTCGAATGCAGACATAAGTTACGCCCAGGCCGAGACCTACGCCTGCTTGAATACGCTGCTGGAGCTGCAGCCGCGCGAGATCGGCGGCAGCGTCAAAGCCATGGACGAGGTAACGAGCAATTTGGCTCGTGCTATACTCTCGGGTCTGCCGGACAAGCTCGATTTGAGAGCCATTCAGAAACGGTATGACGAGTGTCGACCTTTGTGTTGCTTCGCGCCCATTGTTCGCATGTAGTGTACATTTTTTTTTGAATAGATATCCCGTGTCGTACGAGGAGTCGCTCAACAGCGTGCTGTACCAGGAGGCGGCGCGCTACAACGTGCTGCTGGACGAGATGCGCAAGAGCCTGAGTGATTTGTTGCGGGCGCTGCAGGGCCTCGTCGTGCTGTCCGAGACATTGGAAGCTATGGCCTCGGCCATGTTCAGCAACAGAGTGCCCAACAATTGGACCAACAAGGCTTTCTCGTCGCTCAAACCTTTGGGTAAAAAAATAACGACAAAAAAACAATACTTTGTGTTGTTTTTAGTTCGAGGCTAAACTGAGAAAAATACTTTAGAAAAAATTAGTATACTATGTTGTAAAAAATTTTACTACCCAACGTGATAAATTTATTATAACACAGTAATATATACTCTATGTACATAACTAATTTTTCTAATTTAATTTTACCAAGGTGTGGACTTTTTTTCATCATTTTTTTTTCGTATGAATTCAGGAGCATGGATGGAGGATTTGAAGGAGAGGGTGAGATTTATCAGAAAGTGGCAGGACAATGGCATACCCGCGTCCTTCTGGATCTCGGGCTTTTACTTTCCTCAAGCTTTCTTGACCGGGACTCTGCAGAATTACGCGAGGAAGTACGGGGTTTCCATCGATTTGATTGACTTTTCTTTCAAGGTATATATTATTTTTACTTTATTTAATATAATACTAATTTGCGTGTCTAGAATCTAGAATTACAAAATTAAATTTCAAGGAATGTAATTTATAAGGTTAACTTTTGAACTACTTGCTGCGTTTCTGCTAAATTTCATTTTTTTAAATTTAATTTCGTAATTCTTTTTTACTCTTTGCTTTGCATGGGAAAAATTCCTTCCCTTTGCATTTCAGGTCCTCGCGCAGAAACCGAAAACACGCCCCGACGACGGCTGCGTCGTTTACGGCCTCTTCCTCGAGGGATGTCGCTGGGACGGCACTTCCCTGGCCGAGTCTCGGCCCAAGGAGCTGTTCACGAGCATGAAACCGATGCTGTTTCTGCCCGAAGTCAATCACAAGAAGCCCGAGAGCGGCTTCTACGAGTGCCCGGTTTACAAGACGGTGGTCAGGGCCGGCACGCTGAGCACCACCGGCCACTCGACCAACTTCGTTCTGCCCGTGGAGATACCCTGCCGAGAGTCGCCCTCGCACTGGATCATAAGGGGCGCAGCGCTCATTTGTTCTCTCGACTTCTGAGACGCGAGTGAAATTTTTCATTTCGCCCGTTTGATGTAGGTGCGACACATTGTCGGCTAACGCTCGATTTGTCTTTATTTAGAGAGGTAGCTGCTTTTGCATGTAGGTGTTTTGGTTTTTTTCTTAGAGTCGAATTTAGTCGACTTCTACCGAAGACTTTGCTCATTTTTTCATTAATTGTGTGAGACATTATCATAGTTACTTTGTTTTTGTTTGCTTGAAAAAATAAAATGTATCATAAGTACACAAAAAAGTACTACTTTCAATCAATTGAAGGGAAACACAATTCTTTTTTCTCTCTGTGCTACCAGCCGGATATTTTTGTTTATTTTGCAACTACTTTCCACCTGACAACTCAATTATTAAATCAATCAGACTCGTACTTTCTCAAAATCATACCTTCACTTGTACAATTATTTTTAGTTTTCCACTTGCAGGTTTACAAATAAATGTACTCGCCATCTAGTAGTGAAAGCTGAAAGTATTATTGTCGTATTGTAAAGTGATTGAAAACTGGTGCACATTATTTTAAACATGTACCTCATCAAATAGTCAAATTGAATTATCATTTTAGATAACTTAAAACACACTCAATAATTATAAAATAATTGCAAAAAAATTAGAAAGTTGATAACATGATTGAATTGATTTTAAATTAAACAAAAAATTAAATTGAAATTCCCATGTTATTTTCAACACTGAACGCTTAAAAGTTTCAAATAACGTAATTTACAATCGTATCACGATACCAATCGAAGAATATTTAGTCTTGATAATGGGATTAATATTCGATTCACAAGCAACTGTCTAATATACTGGTGAGAAACGAAAACAAATAGGCAGTTGCGTTGCGACCACTAATCGGTAAACATAGGCCTTCGCTACTCACAGTCCTATTTGTAAACATTCGAGCGAAGACAATTTTGCGATTCTAGTGACTTTTCCGAACTTGAACGATTGTAAAAAATGGCAAATTTTGCCTTTCGTGCAGATCCACCAAAAGGTGCGAATCAATCAAAAAAGAAAAAAAAATCTAGTTGGTTTTATGTCAAAAGTTTATTGTGTGGCGTTGATAAATGCGATCTTAAGCCAAAGAAACTTCAAAAAGAGGATAAGTCACAGACAAAAAATTATAAAAGCACTGATGGTTTGATCAAGAGTGAAAACTATAAAGTTAAACCTAGTGAAAATTTAAAGACGAATAATCGCAGGGGCTTCGATGTATTGCTTAAGAGTGAAAACTCAAAGGTAAAATCTAGTGAAAATTTAAAGACAAAAAATAACAGGAGCACCGATGGTTTGATCAAGAGTCAAAATTTGAAAGTGAAATCTAGTGAAAATTTAAAGACAAAAAATTACAAAAGCCCCGATGGTTTGATTAAGAGTGTAAGCTCAAAAGTAAAATCTAGTGAAAATTCAAAGACAAAAAATAACAGAAGCACCGATGGTTTGATCAAAAGTGAAAACTTGAAAGTAAAATCTGCTGAAAATTCAAAAACAAAAAATTATAATAGCACCGTTGGTTTGATCAAGAGTAAAAACTCGAAAGTAAAAACTGGGGAAAATATTAAAAATTGTGTGAGTGCAGGCGATGACAGGAAAAAAGTTAAAGTATATGATGTAAAAATATCAAATTGCTCTGAAGTAGAGAAAAAATGTTTTCAAAGTTCATCGAAAAATAAAAAAGCTAATAACAGCTCTGCAACAAAAGTACTTGATCGTAATAATAATAATAAAAATAATTATAGCAATGAGCAGAAAACAAAAATTTCCAAAAATTCTCATGGTCAGAGAAAAAATAAGAAATCTATTCATTTGAAAGATCACGAAAAGAGTCCACTGAAAACAGATGACAAAAAAAATGTCAAAAATTCTTCCAAACCCATTGATTCAGTTATCTCTAAAAATTACAGTAATGAAAATAAAAAGGCAAGACGGAAAAAGAATAAAAGAAAAAATGCTTCAAACAGTGATAAAGTTACTTCTGAAAACAATAACAATATATCACCAAAAAAAGTTCAAGAGAAAGTTGTAACTCTAAAGAAAAAATTGATTGTTGATGAATATGAAAAACTCCTATTGGAAAAGATCCTATTAGAAAATAAAAGTAAAAGATTCGTTAAATATGATCTCAGATGTCCAATTGGTTCGAGAATAAGTTTTTATCACGAAGATGATAAAGATTGTCCACAAATGATAAGAAGTAAAAGAAAAGGAAAAAAACTTGAATTGATGAATAAACCTTGCGTTTTTGTTCGTCCCTCGATGGATTCAAATAATAATGAAACTGTTGATACTGATAAAGAGAATTCAGAAAAAGAGGATAGCAATGACAGTGCGATCAATGACTCTGTAAAAGTGGACGTATCTGAAATTTCGAGTTCGGAATCCACCGAAATAATTTACGCTGTGATTGACACGTCGAATAAAACAGAAGTCAATAATTTTGGCGAAGACTCGTCGATAAAAAAGAAAAAAACTGAACTAGAAAAGAAACTTGAATATGATGCAGAAGCTTGGAAAGATTTCAGAATTGGTGTTGGAGCGAAAATACTTTTGCAGCTCGGTTGGATACCTGGCAAAGGCTTGGGAAAGAATCTTCAAGGCATCCTTTTTCCAGTAGAAGTCACGAAGAGACGCCGCAGAAAAGCTCTATGATGTTACATCGAAGAAAATTCCATTTTCAAGGACTAAATTTATCGTCAAACGGTTGCTCGAACTTAGCAGTGAATGCCAAATGTGTAAGGATAGTCAATATAAGGAATTGATTTGCAGAACGATTGAAAGAACATATTAAATATTGTGAATGCCAAAGAATGTTATGTGTGTGCGAATAGCGATTATTAATCTCAATTTTTTTTGTTAATCTAGAATTAAGTTACTCATCTGTATAAATTATTATGGTCGCACGTCAAAAATGTAATTTTCTGTGCATTAGAATATTTTTAATAAATAGCAGCGAGAAAAAAATGTTAATTTTTGTATTAAGTTTCTGTTTGTTATATATGTAATACATAAAGAGTCGATTACGGGACATGGGTGTTAAAAAAAGAATGTCTCACATTACATGCCAATTGATGATTAACATGGGCAGGGAGGCTTTTTGAATTTCCATGTTGCTTACCCTATTTTTCTTGAGTTTCCCAACAGAAAATGACATTTTAGTTTTGGCCGCAGGGCAAAAAATGTTACTTTCGGTCGGGGTACCAAGAAAATATGAAATTGATACCAAAACCTGACATTTGTGTCTATTTTCGCAATTATTATACTTTTTTTTTCTTACTAATCCAAATATAAAAGTGACTCAATTCATTGTAAATTAGTTATCATGGAATTATTAAGGGCTAACAGGGGGATTAATTATTTTTCATTTTTCAATTACAGTACTAGGCTGTAAAAGTGAAAAAAAATTTTTTTTTCAAGAACACACATGATATCCCTTTTCAATACCCTATTTGAAAGTATTTTGTCCAGTTAGATTTTTTTAATACATAAAAATTCATGATTTACTCGTTATTTACTTCTACGAGAATATAATACTACCCTTCTACATTGTGCAGCTGAAGAGAAGCATTCAATTTCAAGACGCTTGAATGAAAATTTGAATATTATAACTAAGCAAAATATTTGCTTTGAGTACGTGATTGACGATGCTCGAGGAGCTTAAGATTTTGAATTTTACTGCAGCCACCAAAACGCCAGCGCTCTGATATTTTTGAAACCCTTGATCGAGGAGGTCCGGCAGCTATTCTTAAAATCACTACCAATCGATGCCATGACGTGGGGAGGGGTAGGGAGGTGGCAAATTTTAAAATAAATATAAAAATTGTTTATCATACACGTGTATAAGAATTTATTAAATCTATATTTATACTCTATAAACTTGTTTGGAAGTATTTAGAATTTTTAGAAGGTTAAAAAATTCCTCGAAATAAAAGTCATTGATTTAAAATTTTAAACTCGTTTAAATATTGTAAAAACAATCTATAAACTGATAAATCGGTACCTTAATTGTAAACAAAATATGGTCATGAACAATTTTGAAATAGTCCCTCGACACATTGATTATGTTTATTATAAAAACAAATCAGTTTGAATTTTGTCTTTCACCATAACACCAAAAGATAAATTTTATTCATTTGATTTCCGAGGAATAAATCGAAGGATACATCGTTCAATTTAGAATCCAAAATGGATGAAAGTGAGAAGAAATCCGATGAAGTTGTCTTGGAACATAATTTAAGTGAACACGACATTGATGTTTCGAATGCAAAACGAAAAATTGATGACATTTCTCAGGAGACATTTACATCAGAATTAGGCATGATAACAAATCGAGACGCAATTCACAATGAAATAAAATATTACTCATGTGACAAATGCAAAGAAAATTTTGAGTTTCGAAGTCATCTGAGTAGACACCAAATATCAGAACACAGAGGCCGCAAAGATTTTGCATGCGACAAGTGCGAGAAGAAATTTGTGAAAAAATCAAGTTTATTTACGCACCAAAAATTAGTACACAAAGATCGTGGACATATCACGTGCAATAAGTGCGAGAGAAAATTTGAAGATAAATCGACTTTACTCAAGCATAATAAAATATTCCACGAAGTTTTTAAACATTACTTATGTGAAAAGTGCGCCAAAAGATTTGGAAAAAAACATAGTTTGCTCCTGCACATGAGGGTAGTACACGATGGTCAGAAATATTTCGTCGGCAAAGTCCTCAAAGATTACTTATGTGACAATTGCGGGACGAAATTTAAGGATCAATGCGAGTTGAGAAGACACCAAAATTTAGTTCACAAAGGTCGAAAAAATTATCCACGCGACAAGTGCGAAAAAAATTTTGGATCTAAACAGTATATGCTCGTCCACCAAAGGACAGACCACGAATGTCGAAAAGATTTCGCATGTGACAAGTGTGAGAAAAAATTTAAAAATAAATCAAGTTTGCTTTACGCATGCGACCAATGTGACAAAAAATTTAGACGTAA